GCTTCCTGAAGGATGCCTCATTCTGTTTGTAATATTCTGGTGCAATATTTAAAATAATTTAACACCTACAATTATAATCTTTTCAAAGAGCAGCTAATATCCAGCTAATGTTAATTCGAAGTTAATTACTCACAAAAGTTGTTCGCAATCGGAGCCCAAATAAAACTATTATATCGGATTTAGCTGCTGGAAGCACAGTTACAAAGTTTTTCCGATTCAAGCTTTTAATAGTGAGCGCCTCAGGAACAGTCTATGAGTATAGTATTATATTCGACCAAAATACCGCGATCGCTATTGCTATAACAGTCGATTATTTGAAAACCTCGGGGTATAAATGTAGTCCCATCTTCCATACAACACAGGTAGTCCCATACATGAAAAAAATCTTCGTGCGCTTGGGCGTAACCAGTATTTTCTTAGGGATGGGGCAAAAGTAGGAAACCTCAATTAGATGTAGTAAAAATATTTTTGATTAAAAGGTTCGGATGAGTGAAACTTCGGAATTGGCTGATCTTTATCTATTTCAAACATTGAATCGTCATCAATCGCTCTGTTGTGTATAACCCTTATACCATGCAAAAAAAGATAGGGGTGAAATTTTTGTCGAGATTTTCGATTAGGTTGACAACATGAAGGTTATAATTGCTATGTGCATTAAGTTTGGGATATATTATGAGAGCTTTAAATAAACTTTTTCATATTCTATTAATTTTTCACTAACTATATTTGGAACAGTCTACTGATTTATTATAAAAAAGTCTGTTAAAAGTCCTTAAAAGAATAATTTAATGTTTTTTTTAAAATACAACCTTATCAAGGAAGAATCGTATCTGAATAATTGTATAACTTGGATTTTCCTGATAATTTTGAATGATAATAACAAAATTTAAGCAAAAATAGGTAACTACATACTTCTCTGTAGGGGTTTTATATTTAATGGAAAAATTATTCATTGTACTTTACCGCTTTGAGAAGGTACTTATCTTCTTTCAAAAATATTTGTTATTCATGGAAGTAATTAATTAAAATATAAAGAAAAGTTTACTAGAAAAAAATCCACGCGGACCAGGCAGCGGACGGGACTTTTCTTTAGATTTAAACATCTAGCAGTTAAATGCTTAAAAATAAAATAAAATAAAATAAAATCATAATTAAAATATCTCTATTTTTGTTGAATAAATTAGTAAAAAAAATAATATTCAGAAGTATTAGTGTCGTTCGTTGTAAGCACAGAACAGAACTGTTCTGTAGTTGCAAGACTTGTTGCTTGGCTAGTTGTCTGTTACTTGTATTACAGTCATGAAGAACCTGGCTATCTTAATAAATAAAAAAATACATGTAAAAGTACATATGGTACACTAAAAATAAACTATACAATACGTTTTTTTTAATCTGGTATAAAAAATCATACATTTTCTTGCATTGAATTACTTGCGTACTTAACACATAAATCGATTTCTGTAGCTATATTTATTTACACTGTCGTTTTGGAATACAATGTATGACACTGTATTGATAAATAATTGCAAAATTCAAGAAAACATCTTAAACGTCAAACGATAATAATAAACATAAAAAAACTCCCTAAAACGAGGAAAATTGCCGTGCGTAGGCAACCCACACAGGCCATGTCTCGCGTACGATACGACTCGTGCCCCAATCGCGATGGCCGACCGAGAGCAATGTAGCAACCAGCCAGTCAGCATCACGTGCGCGGACGTGACGGGTGTGTACTGTGCCGGCTCACCGTATTATTCACGCGTCGCTTGACACTTGTGCCGTGGTAAATAATGACTGTGCTTCATCACAGTGTAACCTAGTGCTCATTGCTGATCATTCGTGTAACATATCAATTCGATGCTTCACAAATCTGCAACGTACAATAACAGCCGTGCGAGAGGTGAACGATCGTCGGAGCGGCGCCGACTCTCACCAACAAACCTCGCCGGCCACTATTGTCTCAGTGCAGCGGGATCTTGGTCCTTCCCATCGGATTCCATCGATGAAACATCCGTCTATCGACGTGCGCCGCACGCGAAATACAACGATTGGCGTATCGACACAAAAACAAAGTGTTTACATAGCTATGCAGGGAGGACAGATAAGATAAAAACTTGTTTTCTTCAGTGCATTGTCTTCTCTTCAAATGTTGCTGCCAATTTTGATAAAAATTTTAATGCTAGTTCAGTCATTATAATCACACGGGTGTGATTTTCGCAGACACTTAACTGTAAATGTCTCTGCGGGTTACCGTGTGTCTAATTGTGACTGCCCTACTTTAACTACACCAGATTTATATCTGATTTTATTTGAAAACTGTTACCTACAACAGTTAAACGGTGAAATTTGTGTCAATTATGAATACCAGATATTTATTTCATGTTGTAGGGGTTGGGTAGATTACCTCCTCTGTGGAAGTGATGTTTTATTTCGATAAATCTTAATCTAAAACGAGTAATAGTAGATCACTATCTAGTTATAAAGCAAGTACACATAGGTGTTTATTAGATTAAACTTTATGGTTAGTATACCAAACAAACGCCATAAAATACTCACCTATACTTATATTGTTTGGAGTAATTAACCGTTATTGCGTAAACAAACTGTGTTTGTGATACTTTGAACAACGAATCTGATATCATCGACATGAGATTTTGATAGAAAGAGACACAAAACTATATGTGTTCACTACAGTAAAGACGTGCCTTAATGTTTATTTCCGACGAATTGCATTCAATGCGAACTCAATAAAGACTGCTGGATGTAAAAATACCACGAAACATGTACCTTTTATAATTTATAAAAGATTTTTTTTGTTTTGTAAATTACTACAATAAAATTGCTTGTTAATTGTTTTTTAGAAATGTTAATACTAAATACTTACCATAGTAATCACTACTATCAGACACAATTTGATAGGAAACACGACGCAAGCAGGACATTCCTTAAAACTGAGCCGAACACGATTATCTACCGAAATAAAATATTATTTTTTCTTCCCGCTAAAATAGGTTTTTTTATTTGACAGTTTCTTTTGCTCGGTGTATCTAAATAGTGGAAGTTTTACAGTGTTACATGTGCATATATTTAAGTACCCCACAACTTTTTTACACTCATAATAAAACTTTAATTTGAAAGTTTAGGTAATTTGACAGTATAGGTACCAGATCAATAACATTTTTTAAACTAAATATTTCAAAATATAAAAATACCAAAATATATCTTATATAATATATCTTCAGGTGGAGCGTAAAATAAAATCAACACGTACTCCATAAACTAACTGTTTTTTTCTTTTCTAACTGTATACTAGTATTATAATATATAAAACATTAATTTATGGGCAACTCCACAATTGAAGTTCTTAGAAATAGTCATCTCGATTTTAATATGTCTTAATAAAATAAACGTATCTGTTACTTCATAATTCGTTTAACTTGCCCTTGAGGATAAATTATAATAAATATTTCTAACATCCACTAGGCGACAAATAGATGGAAGATATGGATTGGTATTTGGTATCCATCATTTGTCGCCTAATGAATACAGTTTATTCGATAGAATCGTACTCCAGAAAACAAAATAATTACATAATCAAACCATACCTTTAGTAGAACTACATAAAAGTAATTACAAATTCGATGTAAATTGTTCCTATTTTGAGAATATAACTGTTGTGTTACTTAATAAAACATACATAAATTAGTATGTTACGGTCTATCCTAGACTTATTTATTATGTAAAAGCTACAAATTTATTTAAAAAATAAACCTTTTAATAAGTCCCCGATTGAGGGAAAGAATAAATTATTTTGAAACCGATATTGTGATTAAAAAATAAGAATCTAGCTGTATCTAGTATAATTGAATTGAAACTGAGTATTTTGAAACCATAAAAAATCCATTGCAAATTTAAATTTAAGTGTAAACGAATAAAATAAGTTTTGTTTAACTTAAATGAAGAAAGGATAAAATAGATTATACTTTCCAATCACGTCATACTTTTAAACCAGCTTACAAATATTTTTTGCGTATCACGGTTTTGTATTATGGTTTTCTACAGCAAAAGATTCTAGAAAAATATCAAGACACAAATCAAAACGAATATCAGGGCAACCAAATGTACTTTAGATATAAGTCTTCACTTATATGAATAATAAATAAGTATTATTTCTTTGTTTTTACTGCTTTTGTTTTAATGATGTCGGTTTTTATTCTTTTTACTCAATGATTCATATACCTATATTAGTAATTTATAAGTTTATGTTTGTACAAATATCGTTAACAAAGTAATATTCATTTTAGCAAAATTAGAATTCATCAAAACAATGTAACCCGTGTTTATGATAGATCTGCAAACAATAGAAGAAAAATGTTTTTAGTTAGAAGAATAAAATCTTATAAAAAATAACTGTTAAACTATGCTTTGTTGCCGATATTCATAAAATATTGATGAGGCCGAAGTGATTAATGGATGTCTAGTGATACGCTAATAAACTGTTATGTAACAAAACTTCCGAAAAAGACCGCGAATGTTATCCTTGATATTTGACCTACTTTTGTTAGTAAATTCGGCAAGAATAGTTAATTTGCGGAAATCAATGAATTTTAAGCAAAAATTTCAATCTTTAATACGCGAAGACCTCGGCAAGTGTAATTCACTGATTATTAACTACAAAAATGATGCAATTAGAATTCCATATCTGTGTAATAACTTGCTTATATTTACAACATAAGATTTCGTTGGAACATCACATTTTATTATCAAAGTTTGTTATCAGTGAGATATCACTAATAAACTCCCAACTGTCAGTAGTACATTATATCGGTCTACTTATTCAGTTTTCCATAACAATTGTAATACTTACGATCGATGTACTATGAATGGATATGTTAACATTTTGTTTCCAAATTTGTCGATACAAAATAATTACTAGGAAAATAAGACTGAAGTCACCAAATCTAGTACATTTTCCTTCTAATTAATTGCAAAACTTCACAGTTCGTTGCATATTCTGATAGAAACGCAATAGCCGCATGATCAGCATCGTCGTAACGTAGAAAACCAAGAAGTTCAGACAGCTCATTTACATTGTTCAGTGTGTGTGCAATGCTGACGAGTACTAGTAGTTGATTGTGTGTGTGTATGTGAGTGCGTGAGATGGCTCGGGGTGTTGCTGTGGTGTCGTCGGTGTTGCTGGCATTGTCCTTGCTGGAGGCTGTAAGGGGTCACTACACACCGACATGGGCTGTGCACGTGCCGGCGGGCAAAGAGGCGGCAGATGCCGTCGCGAGGGACCACGGATTCATCAACCTTGGAGAGGTAAGGTCAAACTAAACTAAAGAGGTTTACATTGTGAAAGATAAAATTTAGCAGGTTGCATTGTCTTAGTTTTAAATGTAAGAAATGAAGATGGCAATCGATGTAGTAACCCTACATAACAGAATTACTTTAGAAATCTTACGCTTTTCATGATAATGATGTTTTCATAATTGAACAGAAAACTATAGTGAACGAGAAGAAGAAATAAACACTTTCCAGAAACTAATAATAGAAAATAGAAATTTTAATAAACTGACTTGGGTAGAAAAAAAAATGTTTTTTTTATAAAACACAAAGAACTAATGAATATAAGTAATTTAGTAAAATTAAGTTAGTCTTTTCTTTAAAATATCCTTCTCAACTTAAATATTAATTTGATATCACACGATAAAGAACCGCTGTAAAAATTATTAATAGCCGTTACGAATTGAATTATTCCGATTTTAGTGAACTAATTTGTGCTTTATTTAAATTCGCAGTAGGTGGCTTTACGCATAATCTTAAGTATGACTTTATTAGGAAATATTAAATACCTTCGCTGTTATAATAAACATGGCCATTTAACAGCCATTTCTTATGAAATAAGTGTCTTATTTGCCAAAGTTTTATGAACATTTTTAACTTTTTTTAGCGCAAATCGAGCATAATCAATCACCACTCATAGCATTTTGACGCTCTTAATCTAAAGTGTACATAATTATAAGACATTATTTAAAAAAAAAAACACTGAGTGGACTTAATTTTGTTTAGAAGTTGTACCTTTATATGACGAAGACCTTTATAAGAAAATAGAAATAGATCGTAGCAAAGTTTTCTTTTAAGCAAATACATCAAATTATAATATTTGAAAATATCTGTCTACTAAGCACCAAAGTTAGTCAATATCAAAAAAAAAGAGTCTAGACATCTTGGTACTTTTATCTTTTCTGTTTCTGCAAACTCAATTTATTTATTATGTTTATTTTGAGGCATTGGTGTTCTATCCATTTATGTATATTTTTCAGCATGCTCCAGTAAATTTGATTCCTGTTTACAAACATAACGTGGCGTGCATGTTAATAAAGAAATTAATAACAAAACTGTCTTTGAAATATTTCTTCTTTACAATTCAGTTATATGATTGTCTAATCATGCATATTGATCGTAAAGTTTATCTGCTTCCACTTTCTTGTTTTATTTCAGACAAAGCAAATAAACAAGGGAACTTATTAGCTAAAGGACATTTTAAAATTTCTGGATCAGTGTTATAAAAAATACGTGTATTCTTTTTTCACTGTATTTGGTAAAGGCGTAAGTATATGTTTATTTATTTATAGGTTCCCATTAACTTTTGCCCAATACATTATCTACATTAAAAAAAGTAAAGGAATTGAACATGACTTAAGGAGACCATTAAAATCGCTCATGCTGCGGTCTACATGAGTTAATTAATAGTATTATTTTTATAGGAACAATAAAAAATGTTTTTGTCACAAAACCACAACATTTTAAGTATATGCAATATATAGAGGGATATAAAATATTGTTAAGATTAGTCTAACTTCACCACCCTAGTTTTAACGTCATTGCCATTTCTTAACCTTGACTCGAAATCGCTGTAAACGACGGAAGCACAATTATCATTGTCTTCCAAGACAATTAGACAATTTTGCTTATTTTGTTATTCCATTGAACAATAAACGTTATTGTCAGTCTAGTCTTTATAGTGTTTTACTGATTAAATGATCATCATTGACCCAATGGTTTCTTTAAAATTTGCGTATTCAATAATTGCGGTTAATTTGTAATAATAATTTATTCAACAATTGCTTTAAGAATTATGATCTTCGATAAAATGAAAAATAATTCTCTAAAAAAATATTATAAATTATAGAAGATCATTGAATTTTCATTCTTGCTTAAGATGAACGCTTGAAGTACTAGATGCGATATTGTTTTAGTAAAAAAATCCTTTTCTACTGAGATTTTGGAAACAACATGTACGTAAATTCCATTAGCACAAAAAATCAAGCGATTATTTCGTAAAAAAGGTACTAACGGAACAACAGACACAGTTTCGCATTTATAGCATTAGTTGGTACGGCATATCAAACAAAATTGCATCATATTAATGTTCTCCTCGAACATGCAACAGAAATAGCAATATTTGAGTTTGTTTGCTAAAGTTTGCGGGATCCCAAAGGAATGGATACAAGGCGGAGGGATCATATAGCAAGATGAACCATTAGCCGCACCGAGATAAAATTAGTATGTTATTTCAAGCGAAAATGCTGCAAACTCGACTACAAGGGATTTGAGGAAACGTTCTTGTTAACGTCTCCACCCACTTAGCGTAAAGTATGTGCGTGCGCAATGAAACATCGTTGTGTTGTTAACATACAAACAAACTGATTGAGCACAATGTTGTTTTCGCCACCTGCGACTGTACTAAACTAGTAAATTACTCTTAATGCGATCCAAAAGCGACAATTGGACTTCATAAGAATTGGAATAGTACACAGCATAATATACATCTACACAGAATCGTCACAAGATAAGACGATAAGTTTGCGATACGGCCTCTGTTATTGTTATCTTTTTCAGCCTTTTATTGTAATCACTGCTGGAACATAGACACACTTAGGTAGCGGCAAACTTCTTAAATAAAACCACATACAAGTAAACTTGCGCGTAGACGTTTTTGTATGTAAAATTACTAGTCGTAATTTAACGTACGTAATTTAAACCAATGCCAAATACAACCAATGGTTCGTTACATTATGGTGGTTGGTTAAACGTAATTTGGCTAAACTGTACTTCCAGGGCCCAAGTGGTGATACTTCACACTAGATTAGGTTAGGTTGGCGTTGTGACCGTAACACGCGAGCCGAGCGAGCAAAGTGAGCGTGCCGCGGCAGCAGCTGGCGAAGCGCCAGAAAAAAAAATTAAGAGACCTTTTCTACAAAAAAGTTCCCGTATCACCTCTTGGGTCCTGGAAGTACAGTTTTACCCCTAATTTAATTAAATTACTAGACGCATAGACGTTTATGTATGTAAAATTACGAGCTACTGCGAGATCAAGTTTATAACCCAAAACGCGGGTGCAGTGCTGTTTGGTAGTTATAACTCGATTTAAATACCATAGGCGATGCAAAAACTCGGTAGATATTATACTAGACGTGCAGTGTGGCTAGTACACACTACAATCTGTTCACTACGATTATTCTTACTATGCGTGGCTGCTAACAATAATAGAGGCTGTTTGTAATAGAAAGCTCAAATTAGAAAAAGCGCCGCTAGAATCTAACAACGTTTCATCCGAAGCACGGAAAAGCTCACCGCTGATTCATCGAGCTTATCATGACTGCAAGTTCAAAGCATTTTTCTTTTATACGAGGCGCAACAAATAACCTCACTCCACCTGATGTTGTGGGTGTAAGCGGAGTCCAGTCGCGAAGATGGATGATGCGGCAGAAGGTTTGCACCTCCAGACATCCTTACCTTGTCGGTCTGAACCCAGTCCCCAACCCGCGGAGCTCTCAAATCCTACTCACCAGCAGAAACTCAGCACCACCAAAAGGTAGTGTTATGTGGTTGAAGAATTTTATTTCTCAAAAGGAAAAATACAATTCACTTACTGAGAAAAATAAAGTTTCAACATGATGAATATAACGCTTAAGCTTTACACATACAATAATGAAATCACCGTGGGTAGATTGAAATTCGAATCGCAAATCACACGGTTGCACTAGAGGTAGTTTTAGTTTACTGAGGTGTTCTATAAGGTGGAGGTTACTTCCCTCGACGGGGGCTCCAATTCGAGCGGAAAATCACATTTCTATTATGAGAGTGAGTTTAAGCGCTTAAAGTAGAAATAACTACTAAAGCACATTTTAAAATCTATTCCGCAAGTAAGTAGTATTTATTTACCTATACTTACTTATTCTCAAAAACAAGTTTTCAAAGCTCGTAGTTATCAGAGACGCAATGATAATCTGAAAATATCGTAGAGCTTATAATTTACTTATATAATTCGATAGAATCTTCGTCGCTATTTTAAGTTTCCCTTTTTAGAATGTGTCCGCCTCACCAAAGAGGGGACAGGAATAAATGTTATTTAAATAAAATGACAGTCGTATTAATGTAATGGCTTTATTTTTGTATCGTATAAGTTAGCTTACTCGCATCTAAAGGATTGAGCATTCCTTTCCGAATAAGAACAGATGTTGTTAGTTCTATTTATCAGCCAATGCAACTAAAACGGTGAAGGAGTTGTATGGAGAAATATTTTGTCCTTTTATTTACCCATTACCGACAAATAAAAAAGTCTTCTGCTATAATGTAGATAACGTTTTAGGCTAAACTGTACTTCCAGGACCCAAGCGGTGATACTTCACACTAGGTTAGGTTAGGTTAGTGTTGTGACCACAACTCTATTAAAAGAGACCCTTTTTTACAAAAAAAAATCAACTGTCACCTCTTGGGCCCTGGAAGTACAGTTTTACCACGTTTTATACTTGTTTGCGGTGAGTATAAGTGTTATAGATATTAACGGGATTGTTACCATGTACCTTGTTTTTTATGAGTCTCCGATATTTCGGCACTGTTGCAAGCGCCATGATCACGGAGTTACTCCGTGAAAGCAACAGTGCCGAAATATCGGAGACTCATAAAAAACAAGGTACATGGTAACAATCCCGTTAATATCTATAATGTTAGTGACCATGAAAGTTTAAAACAATATAGAGTATAAGTGTATTTCAATTACTATCTATAGAAACAACATTAAATACTGGTTCAATATCATCTCTTACCACGAATGTGGGAAGAAGAACAAGGGCATTGAAACTACAGTGAGCGACGTATATAGGTACAAAAGAATAATGTCATTCGCATCTACGCTCGATACTTAACTATTCGATAACAAAATGTTGGCAACCACGTCAGATCTGTATGCCGTAATGATGTAGGCAGTTAAGTCGGCTTAGGAGGCAACTGGCCTCTGGTCCGCGGCCCACATT